AGGTAAAGAATTGGTGCAAAGAAAGGGGGACACCAAGGCAGAGCTGGAGGTGCTGTGCACACAGTTTTTCCTATTTCACTCAAATTATCTGTTGTTCTGGCCAAAGGAGCTCAGACTCTTCTTCCTTTTGTTTTTTGTTTTTTGTTTTTTTTTGTTTTTTTTTTAAACCTTAAGTTTTCTACTTATCTAAGCCTCATGGTGGTTAAATAGGCTTTGACAATGTTTTTTTTGTTTTTTTTTAAACCTTAAGTTTTCTACTCATCTAAGCCTCATGGTGGTTAAATAGGCTTTGACAATAGTGTTGAATAAAACAAGAATGAGATCGTTCAAGATCAGAGAAGGCCAAGAGATTGAAAAATTCAGACTGTTTCCTTCAAATTAGCTTACTTTTTTTTTTTTGGTTCATACTTCCTTGATATACTGTTTTTTTCTGCGTCAATTATTAATGATGATATTAATGAAATCACGGAGGAAATGTGTTTGACAAAGGCAAATGATCTTCATTGAAGTATGCGTGTGTGAAATGAAATTCTGTGGAAGGAGAGTACCTTAAGACAGAGGGATTTTTAAAAATTAGTACTTCAAATATATTAGTTCTCCATGAAATCTATTTCTGAGAAATTAATCTGCTCAACATTCTGAGAGAAGCTGCTCTTACTTGCAAGTGACATCTGCCTCTCGACCCCACATCTAGGCTCTGTGGAGCTGTGTCGTGTTACACTCACCTTCATTTATACAATAGGGAAGAAATTGAATAAGACCAGAGAAAGGATTACCACGAAGCGCTTGCTGTTGCTGTCATGAAACTCTTGACAGTCTCTTTTTACCACTTTCAAAATAGAAGGTCGGAGAGAACTGGGCAACAATTAGCTTTTCTTTATGTAGTTACTGCAGAGTATAAAAAAGACATCCTATTAATTTCTTTCTCCCTGTGTGTAATTTACAGTTAATCCTCTTGGATTCATTTTTTAATTATGAGCCTTTCAGGAACAGTGAAAATTTA